CGCTTGGACCCGGCTCCCCCGCCCGCGCCGCTCTCCTTACCGGCCAGGGTGTCAAGCTGAGTGTGTGTGCGCACTTCGAGGGCTTCGGCCGAGCTCTGATCCAAGGAAGGGCGAGAGGAGGCTGGGGCCAGCGGTGGCCGCAGGACCACCGGGCTGGGGGAGCCGCAGCTGCAGATGGACAAACCGCCAAAGCACTTTCGCTTCTTCCCGAGCAGGGAGAGAGAGCGAGCGAGAAAAAGAAGCAAGATGGCGGCTAGCCAGCCCCTACGTATTACGTCATGCCGCGGCGTACGTCAGGCAAGCTCCGCAAGACCGCCCCCCGGCGCGGAGACGGCCGGGTCACGTGACGCCCCCGTGGCGGTCCGCGCCCGGCGGAAGGCGACGTCGCCACCTGCTGGACCGAGGGAGTTCCTGCAATCCGAATTTTTGCGGTACGGTAACGATTTATTTAGCCTGAAAAATCTCTCCAAGAACTCTTGAATAGACCACGATTACAGGTTGATATGCCTCCCGGAAGCGATCACCTTGTATGTGGTGGGTGGGTGTGTGAATTGGTTCACCACAGTTTGGCAGCGTGTATCAAAATTATGCACAATCTTTAACCTGGATATCTGACAACATCTTGCTATTTTCCAGAAATGTACCTATACAGTGTTTATAATACCATAACCTGCCTGTTGATGAAGATATAAATGCATTGTCTAGTATGTCAGTGAAAAAGTAACCGTTTGGGGCTGGCATGCTCTGCAAAGAGCACTTTGGAAATTTGTGATTACGGATGTAAACTATGCCATTCAGTTGATTTATGTGATTTCTCCAGCAGTATCCTGCTCTTTGTTACAGCTTCGGAGGAGACAGATAGTAAGATTTCCCCTATGCTGGGTTTTACCAGACAAGTGCAATCTAGGGAGCTGAGGGACTGTAATGAACTATAGTGTGTTGGAACATATGGTGGATGTATGGTAAATGTAACTTCTGTCTGCTTTACGAACTATCTATGGTATATTTTAAATCCAAGGATTTCCTGCCGCCTTCCTGATCTGAACTGTCTTCCCCACTGATGTGGTCATGGAATTGTCACTGTAGCAAGTTAGATAAATAAAATAATTAAAAGAGGTAAATCACAGGCACTTGCCTCCATCCCCCCAAATGGTCTTTTAAAATGGAAAAGCTTGGCTGCTATAGGGTCATTGCCAGGGGGAAGGCCTCCTGATTGTCCCCAAAAGCACAGAGAAGCATTACTTTCGTCAATTTTCCACACCCTCTAGGATCTAGTCTAGTGCGTCCTGGTCAGGGAATGTCTTGCTTTAGCAATTAGGAACAGCTTCAGCAATCAGATGAGCTTACATTAATCAAGGTCAGGAGACTGACATACAACCAGAATATTAATTTATTAATTTCCAAGAGCTGTAATTTATGTACCTGAACACTCAAGACTGCAAAGCCAGTGCAATTTCTACGTACACAAATCTGCTGAGGAAACGGAAGGTATTATCAGAAGGTTGCTTGATCTGCACAGATTGAAAATGAGTGGAGTTATATATCTACCTTGATTGCAGGATGATTTTGTCCCAAAGGCAGAAATACTTAATCTCCAGCGGTAGCAACTTTCTACATCGATCTCCAATACGGTAGGGACGTCCTGCTGTGCTGTTGATTTGGGCTCCTTCTGTCTTTGGCAGCACTTGGATGAGCATCGACCCTGAAGTGCTCCCATGTGCTCCTTTCTCTGTTTCCATGGCTACTCAAATCTCTTAGCAATATTCTTTCAATAAAAATCAAGTTATAGTCAAGGCAGGACAGTTTGTGTTTTGAAGGTGACTTTGCTTACTTGTGCTCTTATCCATTGTAGTCAATCTTAAAATTTAGCTCTCAGAGAGTGGTTTTATTTTCATTATTTCCAATATCTTGGGGGGAAATCTGGCCGAAATCTTTTGGTATTGGTACAATGTCCAAAGCCAAATAATATTCTTTCAAAATCTACTTTGTTTTGGATTCTTTACACCTCTCCTAATTCTCATTCAGCATAAATAAATTTGTCATAACAAAAATGTTTTCATGACCAAATGAAAACTTGTCATTTAATTTCCAGTTCTGCTTTTTAAACAATAATTTTAGGGTAACATTATCAAATTGCCAATTGGTGGCATAAAATCAGGCAAACTGGTTTCTTATTGAAAACAAATTGGTTCTCCAAACACTATGACCTATTTCTCTTGTGATTGCCCAGCTTTATTAGCTACTAATGGTTTTATTGAATTTCTACCCTTCTCGCTGGGATTGATTCTATAAACCTGTAGAAACTGAAGATTTATGGGTGATAGGTTTTCCCAATATCTGAAAGTAGAGTGTTCCTATTAAAACTTTGTAAGCCAAAATGTTGTACAGTGAAGAAGCAGTTACCATCAACTTATAGGGAAAATTTTTTGACTGTTTTCGGACCCCCAAAATAACTTACGAAATCATACCAAATATACTTAATTACCTCCAGTTTTACACTAAGCTTAACAAACACCCTTCCCAGCTCTCTTGTGCTTTTCTTATACCTTAGCACACATCTTATTGACAGACGCACGAAATAGGTGGAGATAAAGCGCAGATGCTCACAGACACAGTGCTGAGCTGTGGTGGCCTGATGCTGAGATGCTGAGACCCGGGAACGAGCTGGGAGGGGCCGCTTTCACTGCTCAGGTTATGAGGCCCTTATGAGGCTTGCTGCCACACAGATGCAAAACACTATTTTCACATTTCACCCTTTTTTCAAAAAAGCAAAAATCCTCTTTGGATTTCTTTCATTTAGTGAAAACAGGTACTAATGTAGGTCTTTTGTAAAACGAAGAGGTGTAATGTGAACTTTCGAAAAGCAAGGAATACCTGTGTTAGGTGAAAAATAAAACGATCGATGTATCATGCTTTATTAGTGGTAGTGTTTGTTAAAGGCTTATGTACACATGACAATTTTGGTTTCTTTTAACGAATGATCCAGAAAATCATAGCTGGTAAAACTATGAAATATTATAAGCCTGATGTAATGAAAACTGTAATACCCATATACTGTATGAAAATGTAATCTCATTGTATGAATGTCAACAGATATCGTAACTTCGCTAATGAAGATAAGAAAAATATCGCCAGGGCTTTGAAAAATTACCTTGGCCAACTTGTAAGAGGTTATATACTAAATAAGCTTATATGTAGGATAAATATTTGTTTATCAGTCTATTATTAATTGGCTCAGAAAACCCTTTTTATAATGGGATAAAAGGTACATTTCGGCTAAATGCGTTGTTCATTTATCACAAGTCATATGTTAATGAGGATTACAGTCCACCCAAAGTTTCCCCAGAATTTTCTTAGCTGAGAGGAGAAACTAAGTTCTCAGAGCAGTGGACCAGAGTTAAGAGGGTATAGCATTAATGACAGATATCTGGGAGCCCTGGAATGCAGGGAGGGGCGGAGGGAGGGGATGGAGGAGACAGACGTGCTGGCTTACAGTTCTGCTTTAAGCTGGAAGTTCACCCGCAACAGGAAGTGGGCGAGTAATGATAAAGGCCAACGGACCAGATAGAAAGGGGGTGGGTCTAGGGAAGACAGAGTGGAAAAGGAAACTAGCCAGGTGCTAATTGAGAATTTCTTAACTATTAGACCAAAAATAGAAACTTGCTATATTGCTGATGGATATAAATACCATGGTCAATAATTATTCTAAAACTGTGACTCTGGCTGCTGCGTGAAACATTTCTTGAAGTATAAGGTAGTTTTTTTTGTGTGTGTGTGTGTGGCCCAACCAACTGTATTTACAATGTATACATGAAACCACCCAGTTTTTAAATCTTTTAATGCTCCATCGTAAGGCTGCTAGTACATTTCTTTGACGGTACTGGGACAGGGTACTTTGAATAATTTTTAGGCTTTGGTTCTGATGGAAAAGAGAATTTCATGTGTTAACAGAGAACCAGTAGTCCACGCCATGTTCAGATTTTGTTTCTTTGTATTCTCCATTCTTATTTCTGCTGGAGTTAATTAAACAGTTATTTCAGAAATATTTCTTTGAGTTGCTGAGAGTCTCACTGAAATAATTGCTTCGAATGGGAATTAGTCATACGATACTCTAGGGACGAGGCCATTGTTAACTTTGCAGGGCACAGTCTTGACGGGAAGATGCGAGAAGAGGCACAGTGACTGAAAGATGATTGAGAAAAAGCTTCTCAATTAATTAACAGCCTAGGTAAATGCAGTGAAATGAAACTCTTCACTTCAATATTCGGTATTACCTATAGGAAACTTTCACTGCAAAGTCTTAATCACTGTAATGATCCATAAAAGAGTGTCATCTGTTAGGCTAAAATCCCACTTTGGTCTCTTTTTACCTGCCCGAGAAGATGCTTCGAGGAGACCGCTAACTGAAAGAGAGCCGTGTCTGCTACCGGAGATGGTCCTCTCAATCAGGAGGGTCGGCCAGGCTGCAGAGCACCGAGAAGCTGGGCCAGCGAAGCCCTCGGCAGCAGTCGGGCTCATCACGGTTCTCACCTGGCTGTTACTGATGCATTAACAAGTTCTCCCATGTTATAGCTGTGAACTCTCAAATGCTTACTAGGGCGGGCGCCGGCCTAAGTCCTTTGATTAAATCACTTTACACGGCAAACGGCAGTACAGATTCTAAAGCTGAGGCTCAATGAAGACAAGTGGTACTTTGAGCTCGCAGTGCTAATCTGTGGTGAGAACTGCCGTTTGAACCGAGGCCTCCCAGGTGGTCTGGAGGACCATTCGCACACTTTCTCTGACCCTTCACTCAAGGACCATCTGTGTCTCCTCATTACTTGCTCTGTGACCTAGAGGTGCAGTGACTGATGCTGTCGACTAGACCATGCTCTTTCCTTGCCCTCTACTCAATAACAGAGGTGATTTAAAGCGATTCTTTAAAAAGCACAAAGAGAATAAGCATGAGCAAATACTCTCCACTGTGAAAAGATCAACATCCAAAGCAAGAAATACAGTTGCTTAAAATCTTTTAAGCAGTAAATCATCAGTAATTTGATGTATCCGATGCTTTAAAAAACACTTAAGTAAGCAGATTACTGATTTGCGAAACGAATGAACTCAGCTGCCCTCCTTCAAATTCAAATCGAATCAACAATTCAGCAATGCATCGATTATTTATCCAATTTTGTCAGCGTTATAAAATGAGATCGTGAGAAGGCAGTCAAGCCTACGTGGCGCCACGCGAATATAAGTTCTGCTTATTTGCTTGACATTTTGACCTTTAAGGTCAAAG